TTGAGGTTCCTTCACCACTTGACTCTTGAATTTCCTCAAGGTCAATTTGCCTCCCACTGTCTCCGTGGCTCATGAATTCTCTTTCTCGAAAGAATCCTCTTCTTGCTACAAAGACCACATTATCACTGGGTCTGTAGAAGATGTAACCAAAGGATTTCTGTGGGTAGCCGATGAAAATACACCTTTCGCTTCGGGGTTCGAGCTTATCGTGAGTCTCGCGTCTCACGAAAGTCTCGCAACCCCAAATCTTGATGTGGTCTAGATTGGGAACTTTTCCAGTCCACACCTCGTGAGGTGTTTTGGCAACCTTCTTTGTAGGGACTAGATTAAGGATATGGGCGGCAGTCTCTAAGGCATACCCCCAAAATGAGATTGGTAGCGAAGCTCGACTCATCATGGAACGAACCATGTCTAACAAGGTCCGATTGCGCCTCTCAGCTACACCATTCAATTGGGGTGTCCTAGGAGGTGTCAATTGTGAGACAATCCCACATTCCTTAAGATAGTCAAGGAACTCAGTACTAAGATACTCACCACCACGATCGGATCGAAGCATCTTAATGTTCCTGCCCAACTGATTCTCCACTTCTTGCTTAAACTCTTTGAATTTCTCAAAGGTTTCTGACTTATGCTTGATTAGGTAGACATATCCATATCTACTAAAATCATCAATAAAAGTCACATAGAACCGATTAGCATCTCTTGTGGCGGTTCTGAAGGGTCCACACACATCCGTGTGTATGAGGTCCAACAAACCTTCACCCCTAGCACAAGTGCCAGTAAAAGGTGACTTTGTCATTTTACCAAGCAAACAAGATTCACAACTATCATCTGACTTAGGTCAAACGACTCCAAGACTCCATCCTTTTGGACTTGGCCTATGCGTTTCTTTCTTACATGTCCAAGACGACAATGCCATAAGGATGCTTTATCTAAGCTAGTGGAAGAGTTAATACACAATACATTTTTTCCTATATTATCTACAACAGATACAATTTCATACACGCCATCAAAAGGTAATGCTTTAAAATAAAGAACATTATTAAAGAAAGCATCAATACTACCATTAATATTATCAAAATAAAAGGTAAAACCTTGTTTATACAATGCATGAAAGGAAATAACATTTCTTGCCATTTCTGGCGAATAATAACATTTATTCAAATCTAATGTAAACCCACTATTTAGCACTAAGGAATAAACTCCTATCTTGGTGACAGGTGAAGCTTTCCTGTTTCCCATGATCAAGTTTATCTTTCCCTGCTCCACATTCTCACTTCTTTTTAGTCCCTGCAAATCACAACATATGTGAATACCACAACCTGTATCAAGGACCCAAGACTTAGAATGAGGTGTGTTATTAGACAATATAGTGTATATACCTGCATGGTTGGGTTTTACTTTCCCATCCTTCAAATCTTGCTGGTACTTTGGGCAGTTTCGCTTCCAGTGCGACTTTCATGGCAATAGAAGCATTCAGCCTCATTAGGGTTAGCAGAAGGAGTGACAAAACCTTTCTTGGTTTTGCTTGAAGAGGAGCCTTCAAGGGTCTTACCCTTGGTACCCTTAGAAGGGTTCTTTCTCTTCTTCCCTTTGCCATCCCGATTGCCAAGACATTGGCTTGCAGTTGGAGTAGAGTAGGAGTAGTAACAACCGACTTACCCTTTAGACCACTTTCGGCGGCGGTCTCAAAAGTCCTTGAAGTTTGCTGAGGGTGACTTCTTCCTTGTTCATGTGATATGTCATGCGGAATGATCATAACACGATGGCAAGGAGTGCAAAATGATGTCTATTGCTAACTCCTCAGGGAAGTTCACATTCAGCTTCAGTAAAACGGTCCACATACCTTTGCATTATCTGCATGTGGCCCATGATGGGTTCACCATCCTTCATTCGGGTTGTTATCATGGAGGAGATTATTTCATATCGCTCTTGACGAGCACTTTGATGGTAGCGGTCCATCAAGTCCTGGTGCATCTCAAAAGGATAATAGTCCTCATAGGACTTTTGGAGTTCGGCTGTCACGGTGGCCATCATGATTCATGCCACTTTTGTAGCATCTCTTTCATGTACCTCATATTCAGCAAGCTCTTCAGGAGTAGCAGTTGGCTCGGGTACCTTCAGCTCCTTGTAGAGAACATATTCTTTGTTCTCATACCGAGTGACCATCCTGATGTTTCTGATCCAATCTGTAAAGTTGGACCCATCAAAGATGACTCTCCCACAAAGATTCATGAGAGAGAAGGAGCTAGTAGAGTTTGAGCCAGAAGCATTGTTATTGAAAGACATCTGAAAAGAAGAGGGAATAGATTAGATTAGATATAGAGATAGTCCTTAACAAAACACCAAAATGTTATATTAAGGCTAGGACCCAACACAATATTTTATAACTTAGAAGAGGGATGCCGCAATCTAAGCTATAAGATATTTGAAGGTAGGTGAATGACGATTCACCAATTTCCACCATGAAAAACGAAATATTTAATTAGGTTTTAATTGGTTTAGAAACTCCTAGATTCTTTGAGATTCATTGAACTTTCTTCAATGGCATGTTTCAATCTCGAGTGTGCCCTTCAAGTTTGTGACTGGGATGCCGAGGATCACAAAACAAGGTGTGAAGTAACCATGCAAATTACTTGGTACCCTTAATGTATTACCCCTCAATCGATGTGCCGGTTAACCACACACGCTCCATCGATACTATGATAAACATTAAGTCACCTTACCTACCTTGTTAAGTTCAAATTAGTGTGCCGGTTAACCACACACGCTCCACTAACGACTTAAACAAAGTGTAAAGTGTAATTTCATGGATTAGTACCTTATTCACATTTTCCTAAAATAAATAAGATTGGGAATTCAATAAAGTTTAGTTACTTTAGTATTATCATTATACTTTTAATGAGAATTTATAAGTCCTTGTCCTACCCGTTCGGCTAACGACCCTCCACCGATCAAGGAAGCGGTGGGTGAGAGTGGACACCCATTAAGTTGCCATTTTATAGGCAACAACCTTATACCCCCCTTGTAGGCCGGCTTCGTGAATGAGGCGTACTAGCGGTAAGACGACTTGATCTTATACATATATAAATATTATTAAACTTATAATATTATAAAGTATAAAGGTTGAATTTTAACTTTTAAAATTCTAGGGGTTGGAACTAAAGTTTTTAATATGACTTTACATGTTCCAAAACTTGAGGGCAAGTTTTGTAAACTTTCAAAACTTTTCATTTCTCATAACTTATGAGTTAATGGTTATTAAAAATGAAGACTCTTCATTTTTGTAACCTATGTGTTCTTTTAATGGTTATTTATAAATGTGACTTTTGGTTATCCATAACTTAAGAACTAGTTATGGACTCCATTAAAACACATAAAGATCAAGAATTAATCTAATCAATTATTAGCACATAATTTCTATGATCTTCTAAACTCATATGTTTATGAGTGTTCATATCAAAAATTTCAAGAATCGTAAGTACATATACAAAACTTGAAATTTTGATACGAGCTTTTGAACAAAACTTCGATTTTTCAAGTTTTTTTTTTGCATCAAGTATCAAATAAACAAACCAGGCTCTAATACCACTGATGGGTTTTTGAGCATTCTAACACTCCTATGGTGTACATGCAACCCTAGAAAACCTTGGATCTATGTTTGACTATGATACATGTAAATAATTATTTTTCCAAGGTTCTTATCCTATCTAGCATGGCATGGGGAACTTGAATCAAATAAAGCTAGTAGAATTACTTACCTTGTAGTTGTAGTTGATTGCTTGGAGTTTTAGAGCCTAGCACCAACATGGAGACCCCCGTCTCGCCCCTGGCCCGACCACCAGGTTCCAAAAGACTAAATCGTCAAGGCTACCCAAGCCTAAGAACTCCTCTGTGTCATGCTCTGACTAGTGAATACAACGGCTCCCCGTAGTGTTATAACACTCTCTTACTAACTAACCAGTGAATACTACGGCTCCTTGCAGTATCACGACACCCTCTCGCTGACTAGTGAGTACTACGGCTCCCCGCAGTATCACGACACCCTCTCATTGACTAGTGAGTACTACGGCTCCCCGCAGTATCACGACACTCTCTCATTCACTCATTCGTGAATGTTGCGGCTCCCCGCAGGCTTACATCACTTACTTGTTCACTCGTGAATGATACGGCTCCCCGCAGGCTTACACCACTCACTCACTCGCCATGGGCTCTCCCCATGGTTTTCCATGATATTACAAAGTGATTTCTCTCACCCGGATCCTTCCACTCTCTTACCACCCCCATAATCTCATTATTAATCCATCACCATATAGCGCTTCATGCTCCGCGACCCATCAGGGACAGGTGCACCCACCCATTCCCGACGACAGCCGTCGCAACAACGCACTTTCTCTCAATACAAATCACTTTCTTGAACCAACCCCGACCGATGATAATTAGTTGATGGGTTTCCACTGGAACAATAGCTATTCGATACTCCACTTATCATATCATAAACTCGAGTCTCAAAATAACCCAACAACTTAGGGCATCATACTCGGATACCCCGACACACCATCACCGAATCTCACGCTCGCTTGCCTCAACCTCTGACCTTCCACTCACGGCATCATACTCGGATGCAGCGATAAACCATCACAGAATATCATAATGTCTTGCTACGACCATTGATCTTCTTCTCGCACGACTCATAACCTCGAAATACTCCACTCACAAATTGAAACACGGAGAAATCGTCAATGACTGAGATCACGTTAATGATCATCCGAAACCCCATCCTATTACTGATCAAAACCCATGCGAAGCTACTCATAATAACTCTGAAACTAATTGACAAATCAAATGCTGCTCCTCCCGGAGTATAGATACAATCTATACATCAAACTATCAAATCTCAACCATCGAAACTGGACCTCCACGAACCTTCTGATCTTTGACTGACCACAAAAAAGACAACAAATAAACGGAGACGTTTCACCAAAGCAACACTTTCAGGATTAATTACAGGCTATGGTGATCTTCGATCTCCACCATTGGCTTGACCTGAGGCATCGGGGACTCACCACAACCTCATGCCCATCCAGAGCAGCACACGTTCCTTCCATCGTCAGATCTCCTCCTGAGACTTCTGAGTCTCCTAGGATACTGTAGTAAGCCGCAGCCACAAGATTAATATGTGGAAATGGCAAGTACACACTGTGCACCACGATATTGACGTTGCGGATGACGTCCGGAACCTTAATCCTCACATAGTTCATCCTCATCGGTGCCAAGGTCAAACCTCCACCGGCACCAGAGGTTGTGATAAGCAGCGGTTTGCCTCGTTCCAATGTCGACGGAGCAGTCCCCACCGGAAGCTTCTCCAGATCCGCGATCGACAAGAAATGGTTCGGCACAATGTGGAACCTGACGTTGCTGATATGATATAAGAATTTCACGACCACTTTTCAGTATCAATGAGTGCTGTGGGAACAACAACCTTTTCTTCTTCTGAGTACCACTCTTGGGAAGAACATTCTTCCGCTAGCCTTAAAGCACCTAGCTCCTTAACCTTCCTCGTACTAGTGGATGAAAGACCGCGTCTGGGCAACCTATTTGCATCCTGTGCTGGTAACACCAGTTCACATATGGCTATTCCACTTCATATAGCAATTAATGGCATTCTCCAGTCCAATCCGATTCTTCATGAATCGCATTCTCCAGTCCGATTCTGCATGAATTGCTTTCTCTTCTCCAGTCCAATCCGATTCTGAAAAGACTAAGAACAGCCTTTTGGTTGCCTCTCCATCGGGGAAATCCAGCCTTTATAGTTCAGCTAGCCTATTAGGCGCTGTGTAAGAGCTCTATGCTATATATGGAATAGCGGTAAAGGCTGCTTGATTGACTGCTTTAAAGTTTGAAACAAGTCTTGGATTCGGAAGAGAAGTAGGCGTAGAGGATATTGAGAAAGATGGTTAACTGCTTGCTAACTGCTTTAGGTTTAGGTGTGCCGGCTCCAGGCTAGAGAAAAGATAGGCTATTACTGAAGCGACATTTTTGCCTAGAGGCATTTCTGATCATTTCCCTTGTATTGTTAGATCTAGCATTTAGTTTAGAAAGGTCAATATACCCTTTAAGTGCTTTCATTTCTGGGCGAAGGTTGAGGAATTTTTCAGGTATACCTACATCAAGATGTTCCTGACAAATCAAATGCTGCTCCTCCCGGAGTATAGATACAATCTATACATCAAACTATCAAATCCCAACAATCGAAACTGGACCTCGACGAACCAACCGCCTCGAACTCGACCATTGCAACCCTGAAGAGTCCCTGACGATAATAAGATCCTTGACCAACGGCTACTCTCCGTGGATACACTCGTCCTTTCCTAGACACGTACAATATGCATAATCTCGCTCTGCACCTTGCCTCATCCACCACTAAACCCAAGTCTCATATGACCGTACCGCAGGTTCTGACACCCAATCCTCTAACCCCAAATTGAACAGAGTGATGATCCTCCTAACAAAATACCATGTTCTCCCCCACTTAGGGTTCGAACCATCCCCCAATGTCATACCCAATCAACCACACTACAGACTGGCTCTCCAGATGTATCATTCCCCACTCAGGGGACGTACCACACATCACTCGACGACTTTCCGAAAAATGACCAAATAACTCCAAGTACCCAGAACCCCATATGTAAACCTCGGAATCCTCCCCATGTGACTGCCTCCAGTCACCCAGAACCTCGTCCGGCTGCACATGCACTTAGTTCGACGGTCCTAGAATAACACTATCTCCTTTCCTGGAAATATTAGACTATCACATACTTCATTCTCAGAATCCTCAATCATCACCCCACTGCAAGATTCGACATGGCACGGGAGACCTCACTCCCACAGTCTATCTATTGCATAACCACGAAAGCCGACAATTCGATATACTCCTCTCGTTTCCCTGCAACAGTTGATAATATACAACGTACCAGACTCAAACAAGGCATACTCGAGCCCTCGCTGTCACAGTCCCCACTGATAACTCCTTCCCGGCATAAGAATGTAACTCAATTCTCTCATATAACAAAATACTCTTGGTGCCAATTTACATCTACTTAGTGCCCCGCCGGGTCTTCGTCTAATCTCTGACATCAGAAACTCACTCACCCATCCTTTCCAAAATGGGAGACAGAAACAATAAAATCCTCAATATAGAACTTGTCATCACAGGATATCGCCCGGCTACTCAACTCAAACTGCAATCCTCCACGATGCATCATCTCCACCCCTTATTTGAGTCTTGTGACTCCAACTGGCACCTCACCAGTCAAAACCCTCGAGATCTAAACTCATATTTGTCCACCCTGAGCATACTGCATTAAACTTAACTGACATGGCCCTCTGGCCCCGCAATCTCCCATATCTGATCACAGACTACTCAAACACCATAGGGTAATTGGTAAAACCAGAAACACTAACCGCCACGAATCATGGTACTCGAACCATGTGATCACCTCTCATTCTGCTACAAATCATGGTACTCGAACCATGTGATAACCTCTCATTCTGCTACAAATCATGGTACTCGAACCATGTGATCAACTCTTATTCTGCTACTTAGAACCTCTGAAATTTTCCTTGTATCGAGTATGGGTCCTCTTCTTTTAGTAGTACGGGCCCATACTACCTGTCACATCTACCCATACTTTCCACACGGATCATCCCAGATTTCCTAAGTAGCTGCTCAACCTCCTCAATCACCAATCCCGTCATACATGATCTCTCTTCCACGAATACTCTCCTCTATCAGCATAATCATCTGACAAGGTCACTCCCTAGGCTCTTCCTAGGTTTTCACACTTCTCTGCCATCAGCTGCTGAAGAACTCTTTATGATGCCAGCCATCTACCTCCTGAATATCGTCATATTCACTTGGTAGCTGACTCCCATCATCAAGAGTTCCACAAAGCACGGAGCAAGCAGCATTCGGGCCTCGAATAATCTCCACCAGCACGTAAAACCACTCTAGGTTACAGTTCCACTTGCTCTACACACACTCAAGGTATCACCGAACTCAAGCAACCTTACCCCTCGTGGGTATCTAACTACTTCCTCAATAGGCTCTCCCAATACTCATCTAGGTATCTCTCCTAGATTACTCCTCTACTCAAGGCTCTCTCTAAAAGATTCATGATGGATACTCTTACTCCGCACATACTCCAAGCACATCACATATAACAACAACTACTAGGCTAAGGCATCACAAATCAGGCAACTCTAGCCCTAATATATGAAATACCTAGCCGATCTTCTAACATGCATCACTAATATTTCAATAATAACTCATAACACAAATAAGTAAGGGTATTTTGGGAAATCACCATTCGGGTTCTGGCTGATTGCACACACTGCCCTTTCTCGTTTTTTTTCTCTTAGAAATTCTTACTCGTTTTAGAAAATCATTTCTTTTGAAAAATTTCCTCAAATCCTCAGTTTGAGTCCAGACATACCCGAAGGTGCATCCGAATCCCTCAAACCAAGGCTCTGATACCAACTTGTAACACCGTAAATTTTCATACAAAATTTTCATTTTTAAAATCACATAAATATCATCAACACATATCACAAAATCTCAATCTATCAATTATCAAAAACATGTGTTCATAACTATTTAAATAAAATCCAGGATCCTCGAACACAACTCCATCTCGTGTGTACAATCAAGCCGGCGCCTTCCCGTGATCCTGAGAAGTACCTGAAACACATAACACATAACACGATAAGCACGAAGCTTAGTGAGTTCCCCAAAATACCAAATACAGCACATTAGCCATTCGAGGCTATAACTCGGTAAGACCCTCCGGTCTATGTGTCTCAGTGGGACCCTCCGGTCCCATAGCTCGTTGGACCCTCTGGTCCGGTCTTAGTGAGGACCCTCCGGTCTCACAGCTCGTTGGACCCTCCGGTCCGGTCTCAGTGAGGACCCTCCGGTCTCACAGCTCGTTGGACCCTCCGGTCCGGTCTCAGTATCACATAATATAGCATACATGTATCATACAGACAAGTGCACAACTCAAGTAAGCACATAAGATCAACATATACACATATTACTATAACAGCATAAGTCACAAAGACAGTATGCACGATAACACATAACACATTATAAACAAATAAGACCCTCCGGTCGATAATGTACAAAGAACCTCCGGTCTACAATGTACTAAGACCCTCCGGTCGATAATGTACAAAGACCCTCCGGTCTACAATGTACTAAGACCCTCCAGTCAATAATGTAATTAAGACCCTCCGGTCAATAACACGAATAAGACCCTCCGATCACACATAAATTACCACACGGGTAAGTATAGTGAGAAGACTCACCTCGGATGGCGGACAGATCCTATAAATGCTGCTGTTGTACTCCGGCTTCTAACACTGAGTCAAACCCACAATTAACCCCATTAGAATCTAAGACCAAACCTTCACACATTAGGTCCAAATATGGTCCACCAATCCGGTCCAGAAATAACCCAAGCCCAATGGGCCCACCAAGGCCCAATACCAAATGGGTTCACAAAAAGTTCTCTAATGGCCCAACTATGGCCCAATTTTCCAAATTGGGCCCAAACCCTCACATGGGCCTTACCCTAAAGCCCATGAAAATATTCTAGTCCACATGACTGCTCTTGGATGGCTCATCAATGGCCCAAACACCAAAGCCCAATAAAAAGGCCCAACTTAAGGCCTATGCAAAAATTAGGGTTTTCACATAAAATGACAATTAAGGTTAAGTGTTTCTCACTTAACCCATTAAGGACTTAACCCATTAAGTCCATTATTCCACTAAGCCATCATACAATTGGATCGTCATGAGTTATATCTTCAGTCCACTGGTCCAAATGCGGGTCCCAATAGGCCCAAACCAACAAACCCAAAATTAGGGTTTTCTAGCCCAATAACCATCCAACAAGCCCAGATCAAGCATTTGGGCCGATTAGGGTTCACTATGCTAAGAACCACCCACTACCACCCCGGGTAGTGGTGGTCATGGCGGCTCATGGCGGCGGGCTGGCGGCAGCCACCATTTCCAATGGTGGTGGTGGTGGTGGTTCCTGCCCAAAGAGTGCATAACAATCTCACACATAAAATACTCATGCACACAACCACCTCCCACGGTGGCTGGTGGCGGCAAAAGGACGACAGAAGGAAGAAATGGGTGGCAGCCACCACCTTGAGGTGGTGGTGGAGGATTTTTCCGATCCAAAAACTCGCTTACAATACCCCAACACAACCCAACATGCTAAAAATCACGATCCAGCATTGAAAAACCGTACCTGCACACGACCACCCTCATGGCGGCACAAGGCAGTCGGAGGAGAAGAAGGTCCGCTGCGATTGCTGTTCGGAAAAGAGATGGCGACGGTAGCCTAGTGACAGAATAAGCGGAGGGGAAGGAAGCAATCACAGCAGGGGACCGAGGCTGAGTTCTTCCCAACGAACGGAGGCCACGATCACACCTCACAGCTCCGGCGAGCCTGCGACGCTCAGCGATTTCATGTCGTCCAACAGCCACGATGGCGTCCCGGTGGCAGATGGTGGCGACGCAACAACGGGATCCA